AAAAGCATCAGCTGTTGTGAATAACTGCAGATTATCTGATTTGATGGATTTTTTTAAGACCTGAAATATGCAGATAGCAAAATGAAGCCAGCCCATACTCAGGCCACATGCTTGTTATCTTCTGGCCCGGTGTACACCTGGTTCCACAGCCCAAATCTGGCCCATATTGTCACAACTGAACTAGGACTTGAACCCAAATGCATGACTCAGAGACAAAGTACAAATTAACAATATTCTAATAACAAAGTAGCAAAGAAAAATCACTCTTACAGAGGAAAATATATTCAAAGTACCCAAATAAAAATCACTCACAGAGAGGAAAAACTGTAGAACAAAAAAAAAAAAAAAAAAAACACTCTTTCGAGGAAAACCAACAAAGATTCAGGACAAAGGCAAAGACTAAGCATCAAAATGATGTAAAGCAAGACTATGGCAAAAACATAACACAGAATTCAAAACCTGACTTGGGATAACGTGGCTGGCGTGGTTCTCTGACGAGACGACAAGACAAACTGGCACAGGACGAAGGGAAACGCAGACTTTATACACACACAAGGTAATGGGAAACAGGTGGAAACAATCAGGGCGGGGCAGACAATCAGACCAGTGGGAAACACACAAGGGAAAGGAGGAAGTTACCTGAAACGAGAGGAGAGTTAGGTTTCAAAATAAAACAAGAAGTCACGAGACAGACAACACTAAACATAACTTACGTTTCTTCTTGGACATGACACATATACAGCATGATTGTCAGATACTACTTCCACATCTGGACCTATTCTGCTGCACATTCAGAAAACCTTTTGGCTGTCAGACAATACCAGAGGATAACAGCCAGTATCTATGTATATATGGCCAAGACTTGGGCCAAGGACCCAGGCATATGTTGGGCCAGAAGTTTCATTTTGTTGTCTGTAAAAGTGACAACATTTTGTTTGTTTGTTTGTTTGTTTGTTTGTTTTACCTAAATGCACAACTTTATTTAGACTTGTTGGAAAGAACTAAAATGTTGGTGCACCTGGTGTGTGAGAGGTTTGTCTTTGAGGAAAGGAGATCATAATTAAGTGATACATTTATTACTAAGATTGATGGCGAAGCATTCATTTGACTACATTCAGTTCAGACACTTAAGGTCCAACCAAGTAAATTTGTCGTCAGCTGCTTCTTGAGACATAAGAGCAACAGGTAACGTTAACATTTACACAATAACTGTCTGAAAAGGGCTAAAGCCATATTTTTATTTTTGAAAGAAATGTGCTCAAACAAACTGAAGAGGCAGGATGTGTGTGTGTGAGCTGAGGAGGTGGGACAGTGATGAATAGAAGACAAATGGGATGGAGCCCATCACACACACACACACACACACACACACACACACACACACACACACACACACAGCATCGGGTATGCCCTTTTAAAGTGGATGGAAACTTGATGTCTGGTGGGTTTTAGCTTCTTGTCAAACAAGCACACTAATTTTCTCACTAAAAAGACTCGAGAGGAAATCAAACACATAACATCTTTTTCCGAGGAAGCAAGATAACAGGACACACTCGCAGAGAGAGAGAGAGAGAGAGAGAGAGAAGGCATTTATTGGCAGATTTCAATCTCTTTGTTTCTGTCCCTAACAGGAATTTATCAGTTCCTCAGCTCTTGGTGCCAGAAACAAAAGTTTTCTCAACAACAAAACACTCTCTCTCTTGATCCTCTGATACTCGTCGTATAATGAGCCTGCTCGGATCTGATGCAAACCTTCATTCAGAGCAAAGAAAAAAAGGCCTTGTTGCATCACATCTGCGCTGAAACACAAGAGACACATATTTTATGTCCTGATTAAGATTAAAAGGAAAGTTACGAAAAGAGAAAAAAAAAACAGCTGTTTCTGCTTTTTTTTCCTTCCTCTTAATCTGAATTCTGCTTCATTTCACACATTAACCAAAACTGGATATATTTTGAAATCATTTAAGTCAATTCTCAATATAAATGTGTATGTCAGTTTTTGCAGAGGAGCTTCAGAGTTAAAATGAAAAAAGATTCAGTTTTTTCTTTAGTCTATCCTCTAAAGATGTGTCTCTTTCCCTCTCTGAAATTGAATTTGCTGGATAAATTATTGCTTTTGGCACAAAAATGTATTTTGTTCGAAAGGATCAAGGAGTCTCCTCCCACTGTTGCTTTGTGGTACAAAGAGATCTTTAGTGTGTTACCACATGGGAGGATCAGCTCTGTGTGTGAAGGTAATGTTCAGTCATTTCAGAACATCAGGAGGCCACTGATGGCCCAGCAGAGAGCGTCATTTTATTGTCACGGCAGCCGTAAACAAACTGCACTGATGACACTGCTGTGCAGATCCAGACTCTATATATATATGTATACAGTATATGTGTGTGTGTGTGTGTGTGTGTGTGTGTATTCATATATCCTTCAGGACAGAATACAGGTATTGGACACACTCACCTGGAATAAGGTCAGGTCAAAGGTGACATAAGGTGGTTATTATCTCTTCTTTTGCTCTTTCTTCTTTTTCTCTTTCCAATAAATTTTGTATTTATTCAGCTGCTATTTATTTGAAGTTTAACATGAATTTTTGTTGTATTTCTCATAAAGTGAAAAAATTACATTGTATTAAAAAAGAAATTCTGCCAAACTTTTGCTTCCCCCCTTTTAGTCTCCCTTTTCTTGCTTTTATTTCTGTGAGTAAAAGGACGTTGACTTGGTTAATTACTGTTGACACATTACAGGACATTTCACAACGCAGAGTGGGAACAGGACAGAGGGTCACAGAGAGTGCAGACCAGAGCAGCTTTAGGTCTCTGTGTTCTCACAGTTTGGAGCTCCTTTATTATTTCATGTAGTAATGAGACATCACTGTTCAGTTTTTAGCCGTGCTGGCAGCGTGGCTCTCGGGGCGGCGGTGTCTGTATGTTGGCTTTACTCAGGCTGTGTGTGTGACAGTATCCACCAGATTTCACAGAAACTTTTCAAATGATTATTCTTGAAGTCAAGCATAATGGTAGAAAAAAAAAAAAAAAAAGATCCATAATTTGTGTTTTGTAAGAAAAAAACACTTTTGATCGGTGCTATATTTTACAACAAAGCCAAAGATGTTTCACCAATCATCAACAAAGTCCAGATTTGTGTAATAAGAGATGTCACTGGGTGAGTAAATAGTTAGATTTCTGTGTCTCTGTCCTCACATGGAAGATATCTCAATTATGAAATCAAACATCTGCTGTCCTGTGTTCATGCTTTTTTGGTTCTTTGCTGTTGTGTAACAGCAGCTTCCTCCTGTTCACTTGTTTCGGGTCATGAACGGCACCACTGAATTGCCCATTGTGCTGTCCCGCCTCTCTCTCTCTTTCTTTCTCTCATATTCCCTTGCTCTCTCGCCCTCTCTCCCTCATGTCTCTACCTCCTCCTCCTGCATCTGTAATGGCAATCATTTTAATCAAAACCCAATACTGATAAATTGAATATAAAAGTCCAATAAGATCTTTTATTTCACTATAACACTTGCTCTCTTATCGGTTAATCTCCTCGGTGACAGTTCCGTCACCAACAGAACTGTGAATATTAGTTGTATAATAAATGTAAAGAAAAGCATCATCAGAGCAGAAACACATACAAACATCAACAATGAGTGTTTAGGGGAGAGCCATCTTTGATCTTGTTCTACTGTTTAACAGCAGTTTACCTTTGTTTAACTTAAGGTGTTCTGTTATGGGTCAAAAAATATATTAGTTCATCATCATCTCCACACCAGATTTCTTAGCATTCTGACCTGTAGTGTGTAGGGAGTCCTGCAGGTGATAGGTGATTTATTTTTTTTACTGCTAATGTATTAGTAATCCATGTTCTCAAATTAATATATTGTGTAGATTAACAGATCATAATGTAAAACTGCCTACAGTATATATGTTAACATTTAACATACAGGTTTTCCTACAAATTTGTGTATTCATACAAATCTCTGTCCAAAATTCAAGCCGCTAATTGCAATTGAATTTTCTGTCTCCTGAAAACTGTCACTGCTGTTTTTTTTAACTAAATGCTAATGTCACAATGCTAACATGCTCACAGTGGCAATGCTATCATGCTGATGCAAAGAAGGTATAATATTAACATGTCTGCCATATTAGCTTAGCATATTAGCATGCCAGTAATTGGTAATTCGCCTAATGAGTTTGAAGGGAATGCCAATTGACAAAGCACAGTGTCCACCAAAGTGATAACAATTCATTCTAAGTGGAACATGAATGTTTGTAAGAAATTTAAATTCAATTCAAATTTCATTTCATTCTCATTTCTTGGTACCTGAAGGAAGGAGTAACCCTCCTGGAGCTCTTCAGAAAAGATGGTCTGTATCTTCAGCATGATGGCTAACCATCTAACCAGAAACAGCTGTCATCGTCATGGCAGCATGACTCAGGGTAGCAACAATCATGACAGCTTCACACTGAAACAAACATACGCATGGTGCATTGTTTATGTTTTAATACTGGGTTAGGTAATGAGTAGGACAGAACATTATAAAACTCTATGTAAGTGCTGAAAACAGGTAAATATTAGAATTATCCTTTTAATTTAGCTGAAAACCGGGACATTTTAGTGCTTGCAGATATTTGTCAGAACTTGGCACACTGAGCTTGAAACCGGGACAATCCAAGACAAACTGGGACTTCTGGTCAGGACACAGACGGACCGGCATCATCGTTAGAGTCGCGCCACTAATGTGGCAAAAAAATGTGTGGAGGCGACAACTTAACAATATCAAAATGAAGAAAAAGACTCAGTATCACCCTAGTACCAAAACACAGCTGGTAGCTTGTTGCTAACATAGGCACAATAAATGTGCTGTTGCAGTAACTTGACAAGATTCAGAGATATATCTTCCAAAGCACTGGACTGACACACTAACTAACTGCCTGAGAGACTGATGATGCCGTAATAAAGATGATTAGAAAAGAAATATAACTCGCCTGCTCTTCTCTCTGTGTCTGCAGCTGGTCTTCTACGTGGTCGTGCAGACGTTATATACTCTGGGTCACAGTCTGTCTTTGATCGCCCTCACCACAGGGAGCGCCATCCTCTGTCTGTTCCGGTAAGACCAAATATTGCAATTGTATTACACCAGATAAATCTTCAATGGAGAAGCTGGGTCTTCACATAACTGGAATAAATAAAAATAAAAATATCAGTAACAGAGGAAAACTGGCTGGCGTAAATTTCATGCTCAGTTCCTTTCTGGTGTTTTTTAATCTCCATGTGCTGACTGACATGTCAGAGTCCAAGGAAATGCTGTTGGTTTAATTAGATTTTAAATGAACAAGCACTGCAATTAGACACATCTTCTTTTTTTTTTATTTAGTTTCCTTCATTTTGTTAATTTAAATTATGTTGATTTGTTTGCTGCTGGGATTAGCTTTAAAAAGCCACAGGAGGTTTGACCACAGCAGTGGAACCTTTGAACTTAATGTGGTAAATATGCAGAAAAACCACATATCTGTAAGAAGATATTTTATTCAAGAGACATGAAAAAACTTTGCTAAGGGCTCATTTAATTCAGCACATTTGAGCTGGAGTAAAAAAGAGTTTTTTCTCAGTGTACATGTGTTTGATACAAGTGGTAGAGGAGCCTGCATTTAAATATAAGAGGATTTACTATCATAAAACTTGTACATACTATATTCATCTTTCCTAGATTTTACAGCTCTTATCTCTGAGTGAAAGCTCATTATATCTTCACACTCCACCCATTGGTGGAGTGTGTTGTGCAGAGTCTCCCTGTAGATTTGAAAAGTGACTGTAAAGAAAGTTTTTAGCTTCACCAGAGGCTGAACACATTTACTATAAACTATAACTCATGCATTTAATGTAGCTTAAAGTGCTTAAAGGTTTTTCAGCACAGGAAGATGCAGCTAAAAGCTGTAGAAATCGCTGGCGTCACAAGCTTTCTCAAAAAAAGTGCTTTGGCGTAAAAAATGCAGGGTCATCTGACAAAATGCTCAACTAAATGAGAACCTGCAATAGAAGGTAGCCAAGACCATTGTATTTCAAAATCCTGTATATTCATGAAAATCAAACTAAAGCACCGCACACTGAGATAATTTCCCTTTGACTTTAATTGAGAGCGAACAAGACGTTTCGCCTGTGGCTTCTTCAGGTTCACTCAATATAATTACAAGGTGTGATGAATACCAATCCATTGGTCACATCACCAATTATCTTCGTCTTCATTTTGTCATTTGACATTTTTCTTTTGAAGCCCTGGTAATATTAATGATACTGTGATTTTTGATAATGTATAATATTATTGTGTGTTTTATTTTGGAAAATGTTTACCTTTGTAATATGTTTATCTTTTGGAAAAATGTTTTTTAAAAAAACTGTTAAAACACAAAGTAGATGATGATAATTAGTCAGGTTATCTATGTATGCGAAGAAGCCACAGGCGAAACGCATTGTTCCTGCGACCAACCACCACCTGACAGCTAATATTGGGAGTTCTGTTCACTATTCTTATATATACATATATATGTATATATAAACAGTATCTGTGTCTGACCTTTGGACAGTGCAATTGGTGAAAAACTGGCACAAAACCATTTTCAAGGCTTTCCACATCCTGACATCCCAACCTGACCAGTTATTTCATGGTAGCGTTTAAATGAAAACAGTGAAGTTTAAAGATCATTAACCCCTTAAACCCTAGGCTGTACACACTCACATTCAAACAGTAAAATCTCCAAAACTGTGCGGCCAAAATGAGCAACCAGGGGCTCTGGGGATAAGGGACACTCTAAGATGTGGGTAAGTTCACCAGTATAACCAGCAGAGGGGACAAAACCCTGTGTGTTCTTCACTGAGGTTTTCACCATCTCACTAGTGGATGTATGGGAAAGTTTATCTGCGGGCTGGAATACCATAGAGAAAGCTAAAACTCTGATCTCAATCATTTCTGCCTGAATAAACATCCGTTTTTGATGAAAAAGCACAAAACATGAAGTTTGATCTCAGATTTAGCGGTTGTGTTGCTCATAATGTGATTTATTTGGCTGGAATGGCGTGACAGTCTAGTTTCATATTATACCAAACATAAAATTCTACATTCATGTTTAAAATGATTTAAAACTTGGATTCAAACTGTTACTGAGGCATGCCTTACACTACTCATGTTTTAAACTAATCTTCCATCACCCATATGTCATGTATCTGCAACATCTGTGCAGGAAGCTCCACTGCACCAGGAACTACATCCACCTCAACCTCTTCTTCTCCTTCATCCTGAGAGCCGTGGCCGTGCTGGTGAAGGATGACATCCTCTTCAACCGGACCTCGCAGTGCTCCAACCAGCCGTCACTGGTGAGGTCACCACCCCTGTCCTCACTGATCCCCGAGCGAGCGAGTGACACACTCGAGCGTTAACAGCACAACTGTCACAGAGCGGAGACAGCTCGAGTGTGAAGCTGAAATTGAAAATGTAAATTTGTTTTTATAGAAGTGAGTCGTCACTTTTTTCTATTTACGTGAAAGTTTTGTAAAAATCAATCAGTGCTATCAACGTGATAAAAACTGACAAACCGTCTTCTGTGACAGTTCATTTACTGGCAATGAATTTTATCCACCTGGACTCACTATATGTTGTCTAATTTAGGGAGAAAGGGAAGCTCCTCTGCAGCCACATACTGTATTATGATTGGCACTGCACAGCCTCAATAACAATAACAGTGCCAATACGTCTCCGGTACATTACTTTACAGGCTTCAAAAACACTTTTTCCTTTAAAAAAACAAGCAAACCTCTCAGAATCATCAGTGCTTAATAGAATACGCTGCCAAAAATCTATGAAATAATGATTTGCAGGCTTGTAATGTTGGTTTTTATGTTGACAGAGAACAGCAGCTTTAGTTGAGTTTTACTCAGCAGTTATCATGGATTCCAGTGGAGATGAGAGTCCCAAACAAAAGGGTCAAAATGTCTGCAGGATAATCCATTTCTCCACATTACATCCATATGTTCGGTGTATTCAAAACAATCATTGCTATGCCAATGAATATTTTACATCTGATGAGTTGGAGGCGCAGAGCAAGGATATTTAGCTACACTAGTGTGTCTGGAATATACAGATTAGAGGAGCTAATTGTAAGTTTTTCCATTGCTACAAAGCTAACATTAGCATTAACAGCTAAGTCAGTCTAAAAGAAAAGTTGCAAGTTCAGAGTTCAGCATCAGACTTCATTCCTTTACTCACCAACAGCTGTCTCTGGAGATTGAAAGCAGTGGTGTTTTTCTTCTCTTTCTATCACTTCTTTTCTTCTACTGAAGATAGCAAGCTTTGACGTCTGCAGTGAAATGCTGCATATGTTTTCATGCATCAGTCAGTGGTGGCCAGTGTACTCTTTTATGCTGCAGTCTGCTGGGGCGGCAGCATGTCCGACACGAACACAAAGAGACTGGACAAGCTGGTAAAAAAGGCTGGGTCTGTGCTTGGCAGGAGTCTGGACTCACTCAGGACTGTTGTGGATAGAGGCATGCAATGTAAGATGGAGGCCGTCTTGGACAATACCAACCATCCTCTCCACAACATTCTGACAGGACAGAGAAGCAGCTACAGCTGCAGCAACATCTCACTGCGCTGCAGAACAGAGAGGTTCAGGAGATCCTTTGTTCCCACTGCCATCAGGCTATACAACACCTCAGCCAAAGGAAGTGGACAAATCTAATTATTATTATTGTTTATTTATCACTAACTTTTTCTATTATTATCAACAATGAGCTAATGGACACATGAATTTCACCTATGGGATAAATACAGTATCTATCTATCTATCTATCTATCTATCTATCTATCTATCTTTTATCAGTATGAGCACTGCAGTTGCCACTACATTACTATCGCTGTTACTGCCGCTACTGTCACTATTGTTAATATTGCTATCACTGTACGTTCTTGTTCTTTTCCTCTTTGCACTCTCTCTCTCTCTCTCTCTCTCTTTCTCGGCCTAGGCAGTGGGGCCGTCCACCCTGTGTCCGGTTCTGCATTCTCGAGGTTTCTGCCTCTTAAAAGGAAGTCTTTCCTTGCATCTGTCGCCCAGTGCTTGTTCTTGGTGGGAATTGTTGGGTCTCTGTAAATATTATTATAAAGAGAAGGTCTAGACCTGCTCTATTTGGAAGGTGCCTTGAGATAACGTGTGTTGTGAATTGGCGCTAAACAAATAAAAATTGACTTGACTTGACTTGACTAGCATCCAGACTGCCGTGAAGAAACAGTGCTGCTCAGAGGACATATTATAACCTCTTGTATTATAAACACAGCAATGGCTGAAGTAAACAGCTGTCAATGCTAGCGTCAGCTATGTAGCAATTAGCAAAACTTGCAAATAGCTCCTTCATTGGGGCAGAGGTGGACTTTATTTTGATTTTAGTGGTTTGTGTGGACATTTTAATAAAAAAAAAATAAGTGAATCTGAGTTGATGTTAAAATCTATGATTACTGCTTTGACTTCATGCCGACTTTAATTAAGCCAACTACAAATCACATAATCTTGTTTAGAATTGACACAGCTCTGTTAATTTGAATAGACAAGTTAACAGCTGACATCAGATCTGTCGTGGTGGTGATGTTACTGTAAGGCAGTTGCATTTTACAAATCCAGCAGTTTTAATTTTGAAAGATCATTACAGATCAGATATTTAATTCATATTTCAATTTTGAGCAGTATGAAAATGAACCAATAATTTAAATCAGGACATATCATTTCAGAGGGTGGGTGACTGGGTGGTGGGTGCTTAAGACACCAACCATCCGCCATGAGCCAGAACTTCCACAATCCGATCTCCCTCCTTTGTTTCTTGTCTTCTCTCTGGTGTCCAATAAAGACATAAAAACAAACCCTAAAAAGAAACACACAAGACTAAGAATCTCAACAATCATCCACTGACAACTCTCAGTACTTGACATCTTTTGATATGCATTAAAACTTTTGATGCTCTAAAGCTCTGACATTTGATCCTTTCTTATTTAACATTCCTCTCATCTTGGAGTGGAAACGTCTGTAATAATTGCAGGAATACTGTCAGGGCGCTCTGACCTTTATACTCGTATCTGCTTGTATTGTTGTGATCTGCAAAATAAAGCATGTCACCTGGTGAACCCACCGATTTCCCTGGTGGAAAAATGAGAATGTAAACCCACATCCAGTGTATCAAAGTAATTAGCATAAAGTCCGGTTCAACACTGTGGTTATATACAGCTCTGCAAAGACAAACAATAAGATGTTGAGAAAATGACTTAACGGTTCATTTTGTGTCAGTGATAAAGCTGTTACAGAATTTCTAATGGTTTTTTGACATTTAACATTTGAGCATTCAGGATTTAGATACAAAGTCTATAAGCTAGTCATATCTTTGACCTTTAGGTGCTCCTTTAATATGCATTTTTGCCCTTGGTGTGTATTTTTCAGGTGGGATGTAAAGCCAGCCTGGTATTTTTCCAGTACTTCATCATGGCCAACTTCTTCTGGCTGCTGGTGGAGGGTCTGTACCTCCACACCCTGCTCGTCGTCATCTTCTCTGAGAACAGACACTTCATCGTCTACATGTTCATCGGCTGGGGTGGGTAGTCACAATTTTTCCCACAATTGGTCACACTGAATCAAATAGCTGCATGTGCTCTATGGAGCTTTTTAGAATTTTATATATATACAGTATATTTTTATACTTATAAATTCTTATATAGTATTATATAATCTATAAAACACATATTAAGTTATACTATTCAAAATGTAAAATAGTAGTAAATTAAATACTAAAAATAAACATTAAGACTGGTACTGTCTCAGATCTAAACAATAGATGGATTATGTTTACCTACATTATATCAATGTTTTCCTGGTGGCTGTTCACAGGAATCCCCACTGTGTTCGTCTTTGCGTGGGTGATGACAAGAATCTATCTGGAAGACACCGGGTGAGTGCCGCCAACAGCTAATCACTCATCAACATGAAAATGTGATTCAGATTTGGTATTTGTGCACATCGTAATGTCCTTCAAGTTGGATTAAGTTGTATCACAGGAATCTGCATACCACGTGTTGTCTGACATTTTAATTTAAGTTGAATTAATTTTTTTTTTCTTTTTTGCTTCAAGTGTATATATGAGAGTACGCCATCCATTCTGTGGAATCATTTATTATTTTCTCCATCATTAGGGGAGTTTCAGTCATATTAGAGAGTGGCATACACTGGTATTCAACAGGGACTGCATCTGTTATTCCATTAAGTCCACATATTACGTTTATCGATTAGATTCTTTCAGCGAGTGGCCACATGAGAGTGTGGCTTGGTTTCCAGAAATAATAAGACAAATATCCCACATGTCAAAGAGCGCTTTATTGTATAATTCAGCCGGTGGGATTTGCATTGAGTCGTCGTCATATGAGCCCATTGCCGCTGAGCTGCTCGGCCTCTTTTGTACATTATTACAGCTGACACTGCAGCTTATTATTGAGTGAGTCGCACTGAGTGGGCGTATTTTTAAAATGACTCTGTGAAATAACTCTGCAGCAGAGCAGCAGTCTGATAATCAAGGAAAGCAATGATGCAGCTCCACAGGGTGAGGAAACTGTGTGGAGAATGTTAATGAAAGTTCATTCTTGACCTTGTGGTTTGGCGAAAACAATCTTAGAATAAAGTCCACTACATTGCTTTTTCTGGAAGTTTTAAACAGTGACCCAGTGGCATCTGCTGATATAAAGCAGCAAAATGCAGTTGAAAGCTCCAGAAAAAGCTGCACCTTGAGTTAAGATTATGTAGTGTGATTTTTGTAGCCCCCAGAGAGCTCTGACCAGACCTAGAGACTTGAGACTTTGACGGGAGTTGGGATTATGTCTCACATATGAAGACTTTAGACTTTGACTCAAGAGTTTTTAGACTTAATATAGGTACATCAGACGGCATCAGACAGGCTTGTAGCCAAACCGCTTGAATATTAAATTATTATGCCTACACATTATACCCAAATGTCAAATGATTTTCCTATTAAAGACTTGTGACCCTCCAGTATTCTTGCAAAGCTAAAGAGCTGATCCTTTGCTTCACAGCTGGACTGGGAGTTGCTGTCCCAACTGAAAGATTTCCAAGTTTATGAGTAAGGTTAGCAGAGAGCCAGAGACATTACAATGGTTATTTAATACTCAGAAATGATTTTACAAATGAAAGTGAAAACTATTTTATCTTTAGTTACCACAATCCTTTGGTAAATAGTCCAAGTATGGCACTATCATTGTAAAATAATCTACCATGAATGTGCAGTTGGCCAATGCATCATCTTGTGTGATGACGTTTGGAAGATTTGATCCTGGTTCAACTTTTTATGCTTGATGACCCTGCATCATTTTGCTGGATCCATCCCCAACAGGCAGGTTCTATTCAAACAAATGAGAGGGATGTTTTTTTTACACAGCCCTCTTGAAGTTGGTCTGAACGCAGCTTTAGAGGTCTAGGGAGATAGACCACCCAGTTCGCCACTGACTTCATCAGTGGGTTTGTTTTGAGGAGAGGTTAACATTAAAATGAATCAAAAGTTTATTAGTTGTATGATTGTATTGGCGCAAATATAAGTAGATATTTTTTTCCGGAAAAAAAGGTTTAAAAAACCAGGGGTCATCTTATATTTGAATCAGAGTTGTGACGCATCAGTCATAATGTAGATGCTGTACCAGACTGATGTGGTAAAGAGGAAGCTGAGTCTGACGGTGAAGGTCTCAATTTACCAGGTGATCTACTTCCCTGTCCTTGTCTATGGTATTGGCTTTGGTTAATTACAGTAGGATTAACATGTTTCAGCCAACAGTAGAGATTCCTCCTGGACACCCTCTGTTTTTCCAGGTATGTCCAACTAGGAGAAGACTCAGAGAACATGCAAGAGGGTACACAATTTAATATCTTATGATCCTCCTGGAAGAGCTGGAGGACATGGCTGATGACATGGACCCCTGGGCTACTTTGCTTAGCCAGACCTGGATAAGTGTCCAAAACAGGATGGATATGTGACTTGACTAAGACTTGCCTTGTAGGTAGAGATGGGTAATTGGCTCCAGTGTTGAAAGTCTGCTATGAGTTTTGCAAACCACCAGGTGTCACTTTACTTTCTTTGTTTGAGGCATCAAATCTTATTAAGAAAGCCCCAGAGTTTCATGTGGCGTCATCCATCCATCACTACCTGAAGGACAAAAGGTTTGACTTCAGAAGCGAATGACTTTCAGGTCTGCTGAAAGCTTGTAGAGTAGGTAGCAGCCTGGCACTCCTGCTTGTAACCACTCCTGCTTTTCTGCTCCTGCTGTGTGTTTACAAATATATTATGTATACTATAATAGTTACATTATGGTGCCCTCAGATGCTGGGAGAGAAATGACAACCACATACCCAACTGGGTGATCAATGGACCTATTGGATTCTCCATTATGGTAGGTTGAGGTTCATTAACTCACCTTTTTTTCCTGCAAGTGTTTCGTATGCCTGTTGGTTCAAGTGCATCCAAATGGATACAATGGATGATGATACAAAGGATACAGATGTTGTTGGGAAAATGGCACAGTAATTTCTTAGCATCCAGCCAAAAGCAAATCCAGTGGGCAGACAATATTGACATCAAAAACTTTTGATTTCCCAGGAACTTATTTAATTGCTTTGTGTTTCTTCATTGATTTGATGTAATTGTGGCTGTCATCCTTTGATATCTGTTCATCTCGTCTTATTTTTACTTTCTATGATGAATATATGGCCTTTGTAAGCCCATAAAGGTTTTTAATCTCAGCAGCGCAATCAACACATCAGACAGGTTTTGTTACCACCAATGAAGTGCAATCACTCACGCATCATATTCGACAGAACTGAGTTGCACTTAAGGGACATTCATGTGAGTTTCAAAGTCAGTTAATTTTATTTCCAATAATTCTATCCACATGTGAAGGATCAATATGTTCAAAGAAGATACATATATTTGATTTGATTTGGTCCTTTTTACCTGTTGAAAAGTTTGCAGCTCATTAAAGGGCCGTGGTTCATGACCCTGTCGACTTTAAAACCTTTCAAAAACCCCAATAAATTGTTTAACAGATCTACAGGCATCAGTGAGCATTCTTTTTAGCATCAGTAACGGCGACATAATGTGCTGGCACCCCACGTCTCAAGGTATTAACTTCACAGGATTTCCTGCTGAGTGTATTCCCGTGCTCCCGCTGGGTTACGTAAGCTATTTCAACCTTTAAAGGTCTCAGCAGGGGGAAGTTGCAGATGAAGGTCTTTTCGTGATAACTAAGATTATTTATGCTGCCGCCAGATGTGTAAATTTAATTTATTACGAATCACACGAGGAGACCTCAAAAGACCACAAAAAAAAAAAAAACTTGCATCATCATTTAGTATCTTTACTCTGGTTCCAGGTGGGTTGCTGTGAAATGAAAAACAGCTCAGTTTCTCTACAGTTGAAAGCTCATTGTAATGGCTTCATCACTGACCCTTTGCTTATTCCCTGTCTAGATTGTGGTTGAAATCTCCATCTCAAATGTTGCTCATCTCAAAAGCTGACTCATGAAATTGCGACACCTGCAAAAGGCTTTTATAATCCGTGTTTGATGGCTACAAAACATGACATCATGCTAAATCAGTGCTGCGTAATGATACAATAAAGACTGAGGGCGAGAGTTAACAGATCCAGGTAAAACGACTGAATCGTTAGCAAAATCCTACAAGGTAATTTCAAGGTAATTACTATCATACGCAAATGTAATATATGTACATACAGTATATTTATGATTTATTTATTTAGTTTGTATATAAAATTTTTTTAATATATATTTTTATTTTATATGTTGATACCTTTTCATATATTGAAATTCAATATACTGTATATGGCAACATCACTTTTGATATAGGGACATATATGTCCTACATTACATTTCTGTATGGGCACTAGTGATGCTTTAAAGGAGACAAAAGATGCACTAGAGAAACAAAGTTTTCACTGGACTCATTTAATTTGTTTGTTTTTCTGGTTTTTCTTTCCATTCAGTGTTTTCGGTGGGTGGGAAAATGTCCAACGCAGCAAAATAGAAAACCCCATAAGGGTGATTTTGAGGCTCGGTTGTTGCAATTACTCAGTTATTCCCTTCCTTTTCTCCAAGGTGAACTTCATCCTGTTCATCAGCATCATTCGGATCTTGGTTCAGAAGCTGAGGTGTCCTGATGTGGGCGGCAACGACCAATCACAATACAGGTACCTCACACAAGGCGAGGATTTGCGGATTTGATGCTGTCTAAACGGTGTGAACAGCAAAAACTACACCGAGATTTAAGTCCCATCTCTGCTCTCTTGGATATGTGCGACAAACCTGGTGCATGCTTAGGAAAGTTCAAAAAAGTTCACAGAAAGTGTCAACATTCATGTTCAAACACTACATCTGCTCGGTCAGTGTAAGCTGCTGTAGATAAGAGTCAGCTAAATGCCTCAAGATATAAAAAAAACAGATAATCTGAGACACCCAGAACATTTTTTTTTTATCCCCTCTGTGTTTGCTGTCTGGAGAGATAGGAGTGACGCAAACACTCATTCAACAAGACAGTGTTTCATGATGCAGCCTTTATGAAGTGGAGGTGGGGTGGGGGGGGTGAAACTTTTATGCCACTATGGTGCAGCACATTCTTGCACAATTCAGTCTCTATTTGAGTCTTTGCCCGGTCAGAGGCAGTGTGTTTAATCTCCAGGCAATTTTACCCTCCAGTGAAATCTGAGCTGTGCTGAGTTGTCAGGTGCTCTCATGTTTTGTGGCCGCGGGGATCCGAGATTCAGGGGTGAGAGGTGACGAAAAGCCTGGATAAACCTGATTCGCTCCACTGCTGAATCTCTTGTTGGTCTAAGTGAAGACTCAGTGTCACTGTGGTGTAGTTCAGTGTAAGTCTGAGCTGAGTCGACAGCTGGAGAGTGATACTGGGAGGGAGGATTTTACCGTCTTATGTAGGAGTTGTTAGCAGTAACACAGCACCACACAAATGTATTCAGTTTTCCAGAATCCACATTCCCAGAGCAATGCAGATAGTTTCAGCCTCCTTTGAGAGGAAAAATATTTAGTTCTGTTTCCCAAATTGTGACTCCATCTTTGTTTTCATTCAGAAACAGAAATGCAAGTTGAGTAATGAGTTAAAGGTCCCATTTTTTCCTCTTGTCCTGTGTTTTATTTGAAGTGTTGATCCATAAGAAGATATATTTGTGGTTTTAAGAACCAAAAACCATCTCATGTAGTTTTACATCTCCTCTCTCAGGCTTCACTCTGGAGATCAAGTAACAACAGGTTGGTAAGCCAATCAGAAGAGAGGAGGCTCTCTTCTGATTGGCTGATTTCAGGTAAACACTCAGAGAAACCAAATCCTGCAAGGTTGGATGGTGGGTCCAGGTGGACGGGGCTTGGAACATAGCTGAGAGCAGTGAGTGCTTCCTTGTGACATCACAAAGTTCCAGAAGTCCTGACGGCTGGTTTTAAGGCTCAGTTTCTGAATACAGGCTGTGTGCATTTCTCTGTGGACTGAGGCTTTGATACTTTCACAGTATTATCACAGAACCTAGACCTGCTTTATAATCAAACAACACATGGACATCTACCTTTATACTATATGGGACCATTTAAAAAGGTATAAAGGAATATTTTTTCATCTGGATTGTTAGAAGAATCTTGGGATTCTCAGCTTTAAACAGCTCTTTGGGTTTTTCAAACATATTTTAGAGAAACCAGTGGCTACGTCTGTGACTCAAATTCATGGCTTTTAACCTCATCTTACGATCTTCATTAGCAAGACGGAGTTTGAAAAAAACAATTAGTAGTAGTACTAATATTTAAAACTATTTCATTGTCGAGGTCAAGAATGACCTTTTTGTCTCCTCTTTTGTCTCAGGGGTGAGAGAAATAAAAACCTCAGTAAATAAAACCTAAATAAAATCCAGATACCACTGAGGTTAGATGGGTCTGACCCTTTACAGTAAATTAACAATATATACTCAATAAATACAAACAAACACAACTGTTCATTTGTGTTTCCTCGCAGGAGGTTGGCCAAATCTACTCTCCTGTTGATCCCTCTGTTTGGGATACACTACGTGGTCTTCGTCTCTCTCAGTGAATCCATCGCAGAAGATTATAAAATATTTTTTGACCTGGCCCTCGGATCTTTTCAGGTGCTGTGGTATTAGTTATTCAACCACTTCTATTTCTATATGTTATTATCATTGTTGTTAATGAAACATACATGTTTCTGACTTAAATGTTGAGGTACTGCTGCTCTGTACGTTACTGTATTGTTGTTTTTTTCAGGGTCTGGTGGTGGCCATCCTCTACTGTTTCCTTAACAGTGAGGTAAGAGCTAATTGTGTGACATGACATAGTACTGTATATGGTATTTAGTCATTTTAACTTAAACAGCCAAGCACATAAATAAATGTCGCATATCCATAAATATCAAACATCATTTCCTGTTTAGTATTTTACAGAGGCAAGAAAATAATACAGCTTTTAAAATATCCCCATGAATTTGTCTGCACTCAGCTGATAGCATGCTCATTTAAAAATGCAAAGCTTCATTTTTCAGTGTTGTTCTTAGTGGAAACATTTGATAAGCAGTGAATTATATTGGCAATTTGTTTGGTTGGAGCTAAAAATTTGTGATTTGGGTGTGTGTGTCTTAATTTCATCATTATGATTTTCTCATTAAAATAAAAGAAATTGATTTATATTATCCAAATATCCATAACAGCAGTGCCAACACAGCAGATGACAACAGACCATGGTAAGACTTGAAAATAGAAAATGCTCACTGATATTTGTTTTAGAACAGAAAAGACTGGGGGGCTTTATCCTCTTATCATTTCAAATAAAACTCATTATCCTCATTTAGCCAGATAAACCTGATTTCGCCGGATAAAACAAGTCAAAACAAGAAGGCAGCACGTACAGTGAAAATGGTTTGTGTTCATGGTTTTTGAGCGCCTGTAGGTGGTGCTCCTGTCTTCGCCTGTTTAGGCTTGATGGGTAAAATTGTCTGTGCTTACTACCAACCAGTGGTGTGCGGCGACTTTTAGGCCGGGAACGTGTTGATTTTCGTTTCGCCGCCCATGTTATCCAGTTAGAACGGACACACGCGTGTCTCTCGTGTCGCGTGATCTAGAGATTTGGCCTCTCGACTATTTTACACAAGTGATGTGCGTGTGTCCCAGCAGGAAAAGACTAGAGAAAAGACCTTTTGTTGCCATATTCACATCACACCAGCGAAATTACACAATAATGACAGCTTCCACTGTAGTTTCTCTGTCTAGGCTGAATCTAAATATGATACAGACATGAAAAAATAGAGACATTGATATTTTATTGATGTTTTCTGCACCGCAGCAGAGAAAACACACGGGTGCTTCTCCGCAGCAGCTTAGCGACGTCTGCTGCCACGTTCACACCACGCAAATATGCAGTATGGAGGAAAAATATCGAAAAAACACTTCCTAATGTAATCTTCAAAATATTTACCATTAACTGACAATGACTCATAGTCTGGACTGGAGTTGGGAAACACAGGGGAGATGCGAGAACTAGGGTCCTGAGGAGTCGTAGCATTTATTTACTGACGAACAGCCTAGAGTGCACATACATCACACTGCTACGTTCACAGCTGCACTACTAACTGCTAGCTAACTAGCCAACTCTGCTCCAGTCGCCAGCATCACCGCTCTCCTCCCTCTCTCTCTCGCTCACTACGCACACAACCTACGTACTGAGCTATTCCTGAAAGGAGTTGTGGTAAAATGTAGAAAATGTCGATTACCTCTTCGCTTGACCACCTCCAGTCTTTATATCACTGGGACACGGTGGCGCCCACAAAAATGACAGTAATAGCTGTTATATCAGCTGGAAATCAAACTAGCGTTCGGAGACAATACTCTGCTGCCACAAGAGGGCGGTAAATTACATGATGAATGCAAACAGGCTTCAAAAACCTTTATGGGACAGAACGCTGTTCTGAAATCAGATGTAAGGAGAGATATCGCTTCCACTTTGGTATCGTTCTAATTTTAGCCCTAACTGACGGCACGCCACTGCTACTAACTTACCACTTACTGTTTACCCCAAACAAAGCAGAAACATAAAATGCATCAGCCACTGCTAAAGAATTTGAAAATATACTTTACTCACTGTTTCATGGGGTTTTAAAACTCAATTCTCAGCGCTATCAATTCAGATATTTCAAACTGTTTCTCAATCAACTTGACTGTCTTCATTGACTTGTTGCAGGTTCAGGGCGAGCTCAAGAGAAAGTGGCGGAGCATGTATCTGAACTGCCGTCTGGGCAGAGATCACCACTTCAACAGCACCTTCGCCTCCAGGAACGGCTCAGACCACATGGTGCAATTTCATCGCAACTCCCGGACCCAGTCCATCCTGCAGTCAGAGACCACGGTGCTGTGAGGACCGGGGGGTAGGATCCTGGAAATAACAACAGATGCAGTCTCTAAGTTGACCAGAGCGGTTGAATAGTTTAACAAAATGGTTTTAACATTGGAAGCTGAGGTGAAGTATCACATGGGTGGAAACGTTTGAGAGCAGATTTTGGTTTTAGCTTTACAAATCTGTAAGCCATCAACATGTCCCTTATTTGGACCTAAAGTGGTGCTGACCTGTGCTGTAAGGGTGCGCTAGTGTTTGCTGCCAACTAAAGAGCCTTTTGAATTCAGCGATTTTGTGTCATGTTAGCTGTGTGAACCGAGAAAGAAAGGTACTGGTAGGAAATCTCTGCAGCATCAGCAACTTCATGTTGAATCTGACTGGTGTAAATGAGTGAGGAATGAAATGTAAATACTTTGAGTTGTAAATGTTTACATATAAATTCAATATTTATAATAAGAAAAAAAGAAAAAGTATGAGTAAGATAATCTGTGCCATTTTTTTCTTGAGGGTTGGCAGAGCTGTCAGCTTTAGATTGGACTCAAAACAGGACTTTTTGTCCCTTAATCTCCTCACTGTATCTACTATACAAATGTTCAGATGTATACGCCTGTTTTGTGAACAGGGTATTTAGAATAAACATATTTCTGCTAAGTTACTTGTAAGTGAAATATAAGGCCATAGAAACATATGATGTGTATTAATGGAAGTGTAAAATTTAATAATTATTTCATGAGAAGAGGGAAATCTAACAATACTCTTCTGTCAGGAAAATAGTTAACGTACATTGAGCAAAAGAGACCGTGCCCCCAAGAAAAATAAACGTTGTTTCAGAAAATGCACACATAGGGTGTCAGGGTGGTTAATGGGACAACAAAATGTCTGAATTTGTTTCCTATTTCCTCCCGACCGTCAGCGTTGGTCACAATTGGCTAATGACCGTGGTCAAGGTTAAAAGGAACCAAGTAGTTTTTATGATTCAACCTAAGCTAACCTTACTCATTGCGATGTAAACTCAGAAAACAGTTGTATATTTGAAATGGTGACAGTTTCCCAAAGCACTCGTAAATAGTGTCTGGAAATAGTGGAGCTAGACCAGATCAGACATGGACTAGCAAAGTATTTTATCCTTTAATTTGGAGGATTCGTTGAGGCAAAAAGGTTCAGGTGGATAACTTTTAAACTCTTAAAGACTGTTTCTTCACCAACAAGGTTTCACTCACCCAAGAAGCAGAAGCAGCAGCTTCCCAAGACGTCTGTGTACTGCAGCTACTTGTGTTTGGTAGACTGAGTTGATGATTTTCATTCCATCTCAAAAGGCAGCAATTTTTTTTTCCTACACGTGTGCAGGAAAAGGTTGTTAACCTAGTGACATATTATTTTGTGGTCCATAGTGGCCACACCCACCCATCTGATACTTGAAGTTTGCTAAAAATCACTGCTAAGGATGATTTGCAATTTTATTTTGACCCAGGTCAGCGCATGATCCCTGGATGTTTAAGATTACAGTAAAAAAAACAAAAAAAAAAACAAACAAACATTAAAAACAGGGTTGTTTTGTACCGATTCAGAACCCAAACTGTGCTGACGAACTGCATCATTCTTAATGTACATTAAATTAACTGTTGTCATTGAGAAGTACTGTGCATGCTCCAAACCCTTTATCTGTGCTATGATGGCTTTGACACTGTGCTCAGTGATTTGTCACAATGAAACGACGCAGGTGCTCAGACTGAAGATGTCATTTAACCAAAAGGGAAACTTTAGACAGTGTGTCCACTGAGAACTTCTGTCAAAACTGGTGGCATTTAACCATTTGCCACTTGATTTGTTGACAGAGTTGCAGTATCCAAACTAAATCGGTAACACGCCCTGGGAGTCTCGGCCTCGGAAAGGATGTTATGTATTTTCCAATTTGTAATGAGGTTTCAGCAGTGTGTACAAATATACACTGTTCCATGTTTTTTGAGACTGTAAACAAAGTGAGGGACCAAATTCATCAAGTCTTAAAGTGGAGGTTTGCACAGAACGGTTTATTCAAACCCACACCCTCCTACTACTGCAGGATTTCCATCCACTCCCGCCCGCTCCTGTAGAGATTTTGATCGCTCCCACCCACATCACTGTTTTCTGTTGAAAATCCTCCTCATCCCACGGGGGAATCAACACACATTTAACCCTGAAGGATTTTTTTTTTTTAATCTGAAGAAATGCAAATCCACTTTTGCACTGTTTAAAAAGCCAACTGTTAAAGACTTGACCTGAAAACAAGCATTGCCAAAAGATGTTGAAGCAGATGAAACATTATGGATCACAAACCAGATTATGGAATGTCACACTTCAGCAGTGATGGTGTTATTCAAAGAGGTTGTAGCATTCACAGTATGTAAAAGGTGTGCTGAGCAGATTTGCCTTTCAGAATGTCATTTCATTTTAAAAATAAGTTAAATTAAAGTTAATTTTAAGAAGCCAACCACTTTGAAAAGAGATAAAGTAAATGGATAAGTTTGGCTCACTGGATTTCTCTAAAACTGTTCAGCAAATGTCAGTGAAATTTGACAGATGTTCGGGTCTTAGGCGATTTTTGGTGCAATTACCGGCACCAATTTAAAAGCCTTGTTTTTTGTGTTATGTCAGTATTCTCAACAGTGCTAAAGTGCAATAAGATTAGAGTACTTATATCTTATATTAAAGAGCAAATTAACTAAAACTAGCTGACTAAACTTTTTAATTGGTTTAACTTTTCACCTTTCTGCTGTGATGCAGAACTGTACTCCAGGGTGTGTCCGTACACCGTGACATCCCCGAAAGACAACATTTAGAGTGTCTTTAAAACAGGTTTATGTTGTTTAACAGGTTATTCAACAACCTGCTTCAAACGTACTTTCATTCAGGCATATTTTGAAAGTCACCAGTTTAGGCAGAAGTGCCAGGTGGATACAAAAGCCTAAAAGAAAATAATGACAATTCTTTGATTATGAACGTTAATAATGTTGGTTTTATTCATGCAAGTGTTTTGCAGCAGTTGCATGATATTCTGTGTTTGCCTTTTTTATTACTGTTGGTATATGGCTGTCAATGTGTCATTTTCTTGTAAAATCTAATGTAAATTATGTCAAGAGATGACAACAAAAAAGGACAAGCTTAATTTTTTTTTTTAAATGTGCTATATTTTTCTTTTACATGCTGTATTTAATTGTTGCCACAAACATTTCTGGTTGCACTTGACTTAAGACATACAGAAAAAGTTTATTTTGAGCAGACACATTACATTACAGTCATATTACTGATTATCTATTCACTATCCATAAAACAATACTCCCTCCTGATCTTTAAGTGACAAAAGACTAAACCCACTTACTGTCCGAAATATGTGCCATAAGTTTTATTTTATTTTTTGTAATTTTGTGTTAGTGTTGGTCCCATTTTAAATGAATTTTATTTAAAAATGACAAAAAATAATGACAACAATAATCAATTTAATACAGAACTCCTAAACAAACTTGCAACTCTAATATATACTACATTAACTAGGAGCCAGACCCCACTGTGTTGTAAAAGCCCTAAACACAGGTCTGGACAAATAAGCACCTACTTATTAAAGTTGTTGTCCAGAATCCGCTTCATAGAATCAGGTGGAGCAAAATAAGGAAAAATGTTTTGCTAAATTTGGTCATTGTTGAGAATCCTGGAATCTCCTGGTTTTAAAGATATACCTGAGTATCATCTGCATAACAGCAATCATCATTTGTATTAACAAAGGTTCAGGCAATGAGATTTTAATATATCCTCTAAATTAAGCAATTAAGACAATTTTAAGCAATTTGTAGAAACAGTAGAATTTGTAGAAACATAATATTCCCTAATGCTAATGGTTTATATATTAGAAGTCTCTCATGATGTAAAAGTAATGAGTAAAAATAAACATTGGACAAGCTTCATCTTCTTAGATATTGAGTTTTTGTAAGCAATTTTAATACGTGTTTTTACCTTGACAGTTTTAGTAGCACTATCTTTATTATTGGAAAACAGTACAAAACCTGAAGATATTCAATTTATCATCATAGAAGACAGATGGAAACCAACAAACAGTGTTGTGTAGGAACGCGTTCAATCGGCAGTATTCATTGAACACGTTCATATTTTTTGCGAACGCTGAACTGCACGAGTCGATGAACGTGAGCAGCTGCTCACATTTTATGATGGTACAGGCAGTACAGACACATCTACTACTGCTGAAGCCAGTTTGTCTGAGCATTTGGATTTAAATGTAAGGCATGTCTGTGATTTTTCAGTGGTATACAATAATTAATTTAGTTTGGGAGTGGCAGTGATTTGGGGAAGGATGGGTAGAAAGAGGTTCTATTGAAAAAGAATAGCGGCCTATTTATTTAAAATAAACGGAACAAATGAACATGAACTAGTTCATTTTTGGGACTGTGAATTTAGTTCAAAATTTAAAAAAAAAATGAACTATGAACGTTAACTAGTTTATTTGTATGAACTGAACTTTGAACTAGTTCTTTGTAAGTGTTAACTGGCACAACACTGCCGACAAATATTCAGATTTAAGAAGCTGAAACCAGGGAATGTTTTCACATTTTTGCTTAAATAGACTTTTAACAATTCATCGTTTTTCAAAGTGATGCAGATTAATTTTCTGTCAGTCAACCAATGAATTAATCAAAAAATTATTTCAGCTCTAAATTCCATTTTTGCCTGGGTGCATTTTAAAGATGGTGTCAAACTTGTCAAGGTACTCAAACAAATATATTCATGTATAAGAAATACGATGAAAAAAACCACCTTTCTCATAGCTGCCATGCAAATATCAAACATTATGACCCAACACAGCTGTATGCCTTAAGGAAAGTGTTACCAAATATCTTACAAACAAGATGTCACCATGTTACTCAATGTATCATTAAGACGTCTATGTAACTATAAGTGGTTGAGAGTATACAAAACACTGTAGACCATATACAACACACACACACAGTGTTGGCTTGTCGTGTGATTTCATATTTAATGTGG